AACAATATTATTATTACTGTTATTATTGTTGTTGTTGTTGTGGTCATTGTTTTTGCTGTCACAATGCTTGCGTGGTTCGCCTTGTTAATCTAGATAGAGTGGAGTGAACAAATTAGAAAGACCTGATGAGGAATTTCGGTGATGAAAAAAAATAGGTGAAGATAATAATAATAATAATAATTATTATTATTATAAGAATTATAACAACAACAACAATAATAATAATAATTATTATTATTATTTTTATTATTATTATTATTATAACGATAACAGACGTTGACAAAATGGCAATTGCAATAGAGAAGTGAAGAGATCAACAAAAAAGTAGAAATTGAACTTAAGTCGAACAGAATAAGAATTACTGTAATGACACTGTTAATAGCAATCATAATAATAAAACAACAACAACAATAAAACAACAATAATAACAACAATAATAATATAACAGAATTTGGAAAAACAATGACGACATTGTTGAATTCTGGGTAAGGAGTAAGTGCTTCCGAGAAATTTTCCAAATTAAATTGTTTACCTATTTTAATTATTCACCAAGAAAAATTACCACTACTACTAATACTGCTACTGCTGCTGCTGCTACCACTACTACTACTACTACCACCACTACTACTACTATTACTACTACAACAACTACTACTACTACTACTACAGAGATGTTGCTGCTACTACTATATATACTTTTTTTTACTATTGAGTCTGCTTCTACTGCTGCTACTACTACTACTACTGCTGCTGCTGCTGCTGCCACAACTTTTGTAGTTACTGCAGTTGCTATCGTGGTCATCGTCATTGTCGTCGTCGTCATCATGATCTCCATCCTAGTACTCACGCTAACATTAAAAGCCATGTGCGGTCGTATTTTTTTAGTTCAAAATGGACAAAAAAATATTATTGGTTACTTTTTTGAGAAAGTTAATCACGTGTCTTTGGCGGGTTTTTAATGCGTTTTTTGGCCATGTCGCTTCTTGTTTAATGCCATGTTTTCCTCTGTGGTTCGTTTGGTTTTTAACTTTCTATAAACTCCGTTTGTCATCTCTGTCCGTCTTGGTTGACATAATCGTTGACGTCATCAACTGCTACTGCAGCTACCGCTGCTGCTGTCTTTTTTTTTTACAGCCGCTACTACTGCAACGACTACTACTACAACTAATAAAAATAATAATTTTACTCGATTTATCTTAATAAATGAATGGCTTAAGAACCGTAAATATTAATCGTTGTACGTCTTGGTGTGTTTGTGTCTGTCTGTCTGTCTGTGTGTGCGTGTGTGTGTGTTTGTGTCTGTCTGTGTGAGCGTCTGTGTTTGTGTCTGTCTGTGTGTGGGTGCGTGCGTGCGTGCGTGCGTGCGTGTTTGTATTATACGTATAACTTTATTTATGTCGTGCCTGTATTCATATGTTTATGCTTTATTAATATTACATAAGTAAATTACATATATTACAATGTAAGAAGATAGAGAGAGAGGGAGAGAGAGAGAGAGAGAAAGAGAGAGAGAGAGAGATAGGCGAGAGATTAAAAAGTAGGATTGATTAAGAGACCACATACATAGAAGCATGCATTTCGTCTTGTTTTTTATTACACGCATATCGAGAGACACACACACATACACACACACACACATACATGCACATACATACACACACACATACATGTACATCATTATTTTAATGATATATAGTAATAGTTGAACCATTAGCAATGTAATTGTAGCAAATTGTTGTAAATGAACACATTCATTAAGACAAATTTTCATTTTTTGATTAATTGTTCGATTGATTGAACGAATGGATGAACGAATGAATGAATGAATGAATGAATGAACGAATGAATGAATGAATGAACG